TCCAGAAGTCCCTCTCCCAGGTGGAGAGCAAAGGACTACTTTACACTGGAAGTATCTTTGTCTAGATGTACAGAGAATAATATACAACTGTCAGAAAGATCAAGCTAGGTGAGATGCTAAAATCGTTAAGGTTTTCAAGACAGAGGGAAAGTGAAGGAATATAGACTTTGTCTTTACAAGGAAAAATGCTATAATGTCAAAATTCCATTTGCAGAAATAATTCTGTGTCAAACATAACTCCATTCATACCTACCTCATACAAATTCTTTGATCCACAACAAAGAGACAACTTTTTTCAGCTATGACAACTCACTACCTCAATCACTCATACTTTGTGATACCAGGATACCACTGCCACACTGAAGCAGTAAGARCATGGTCCAGTTTTGACCATTTGGAACACAAGCACAAAATTTGGACCTGTGCTGAGCCCTTTTTTAGTCTCAACAGCTGTTTGTTAACACACACCCAAACACTACAAATTATGTCCATCATTAAAATACCTAGTATAATGAGTGACCAAAGCACCCATGGGCATCACTTCTTCATTGTCTTTCAACATGACCGTATGGTTTTCCAGAAATGCTTAATAACATCCCAGTTTCTTCAATTCATCCCCTGGAGTGAGTTACCTCTGGATATGTCTCTCTTCATTAGCTACAGAGGGAGTATAAATGGGCARATGCAGATGTCAGGAGGGGAATCCTACYCTCTGTCTGTCTGACATAAACAATCCTAGCAGGTTTCCCAAYRGWGCAAGTGAGGCATGTTGTGCCAGAAATGAAACCCAGTCAGCTGGCACCAGATGAGCCCTACAGAATGTCCTGAGGTTGMAGCAGTGTGTATGCACAAGGCAGCAAAACCCTAAAGGGATATTGGCTTGACTTGAAAATGTAATTTCATTTTATGCCATGACACTGCAAAGTAATTGTGCTCAAAATAACTGGTTTTACTGCCTAAATATGTTTTTAGTACTTGAGCATCCAGGTGGATTCAATTGTGCCTGCAATTTTGCAGACAATAACGAGGGAGACTAAATGACTGAGGCGGGGAAAGAGAACAATTCTGCACTCCTGTGAGACAGCCTGACACRAGGACTGGAGCACAGCACTAGCTCTGAGAAGCCTCCAAGTTTAGTCCTGTTTTAACCACTGACTGACAAATGATGTAAAGCTAAACATGGAAAATGAAACACAACTGTTTTCTGTGTCTTTTACAAAAATACTACTGGCTGAAATCTTCAACAGGTGTGAGCTATCAAATAACAGAAATAACTGACTCCAAAAGAAGCAGGRTAACAAGCCAAATTTGGTCAGCTTTTAAGAGCAAGGACTTCCTTCTTGAACATCTTTTCCAAAAGCAACATGTGACASAGCATAAATATAAGCAACACATGAACTGTTATGAAATACATAAAAAATAATTTAAATCCAGAAATATGATTCTGATAGGCTAAAGCACGCTTAGAAATTGCATTTTTTATGTCAATAACTGTTTATAGAACCATCGCCTTAACTGATACTCCAACAGCCATTTCACTCTTCACAGAATTTTTCATAGAGAAATAATATACAAGGCACAYTAAACACTGTCGGGCCAAACACATTCTACTGTTTATTACACATATTACATTCTTAAATAAAAATGCGTCACATAACATTTTTGCATAGATATCTTACAATATACCAATTTAAAAAAGAATTATGAAACAGACCAGTAACAAAAATAAATTTTTTTCTTCATTAATAATTTTGTAACATTACCATACCACCATCATATAATACAAATAATATTTTTAAATCTTAAGACTTTTTGTACAGCAAAAAAACTGACAAAGTAATATATTTATATATATATATATATAAAAAGCTTAAAAAAAATAAAATGTCAAAAAAAGGCAGAACTGAGGGCTACAAGATTGGGTACTTCTGTGATATATTAGAAATACCAGAGTAGGCCTGAGAGAATGTGACCGAGGGCATCTCTGAAATGCACTTGTCAGACACATCTGGTAAAAAAAAAA